CACGTATCTTTCCTTTATACTGGTATCGTTTTTGTACCTTTTCCGTATGGAGTATTTGGAATATTCTTGACGATAGCGAAATCACTTTTATYAAAAAAGGATTCGTAAAAYATYACGAAAAATGAAGATGTTGTAGCACCAAAAGCAAGTACAATAATCAACCTGTTCCTCTCTTTTCCCAGGAAGTTGACTGGTCTGYAATAAAGAACGACGCATTAGGGGTTTACCTATGTACACTTTAGACATCATCAAAATCTGGTATTATCCTTACATGGGTAGTCCAGGTCGACCATTCCACAGGTCAGGTCTTAATCGCACTCTTTTCTTCATGAAACTCAACACAACCATGATTAGTATCTGAAACAAACTGGTAATATTAAGAACCATGTAATGGGGTAGTCGATGACGTGTCTGTGTGTGTGCATAACCCCCTATCACCACTCACTTCTTCTCTGCATCACATCTATTCAAAATAAACAAACTCAAACCGATGTCCGTGGACTAATGTACTAGTCAAAGTAACCCCCCTCCCCAACCCAGGACAGGATGGGGATGTGTGGGGCTTGGGATCACATTTGACCAGAAATGATGCCCAAGGGGGTGGGATTAAAGTGAATATTTTACAAGAGTTTTAATATAGTGGGAGCATAGTGAGGCATTAGGTTGGGACTGGTCAAATAATTAGAAATGGTCTGGAAACTCTTAAAATGCACCATGACCCACCATAGTTCTTTGTACTTTGACTAGTGCTTAACCCTTCCTAATCTGCCCCTGCCAAACTTGAAACTTGAACTGACCTGAACCCCTCCATGTAGCAATCCTGGATTACTATTTTAATTTTCAAAACTGTGTCCTCCTATTAAAGTGATATTCACAAGACTTTACAATACTCACCGCACATACTAGCATCCCTACAGTGTAAGAGTATCCATCCACTAAACATCTTGAAATGAGAAATCATTGTATTCAAAGACTTCTATGGTTTCACAAAAAGTGATGACTAAATTACAGAAATGTCAAAACACATGTATTCAGAAATGATGGCCAACCCATAGAGACACTGAACTCGATTGATCGTCTTTCTCAAGCTCATGTAACAGTGTAAGAATTCGGTATTTTTTGTTAAATGGTCTCACACAAAACAACTGACTAGACTGAAGACTTGGCTCTACAGGGGGAAAAGTATTCTCTGTTTCCCGTAGCCGAGTTTTCAATTCTTTTGTTCATGTTTGTTTTGTCAACTAAAGATCAAGAGTCATGATGTAAGCTATGGCCTGATATATGCTGCATCAAAATGAAAATCTTTTTAAACATTCTGTCATCCGCGACGACACGAAATACATTCTGCATTACGAGGCCCACTCAAGTAGTATGTGGGAATTATAGTCTAAAGTTTGTTACCCTATTTGTTTGTGTAAGATCGGAGATGAATCGACTGGCCAAGATTTTTAAATCTGATATAGTATTGTCGATAAAGCAAAAAATCTCTGAGACAATGAACTTTGTAGACCCCTATAGACCGGAAACTCCTCACTAGTGAACAAAAAAGCCTTTGTAGAATATTTGTATCTAATTACTTAAAACTACTTACTGAACTCTAGAGATCGAGAGATAATACAAAGCATTTGGAAGGCTGCTTACTTACTTCTCAGACATTTTGAAGACCTGATGTTCTCTCCTCTCTTTTAATTGCTTGTATTTTTACAAACAAAAAGCTTTGTACTACAACGAAATGCAGTATCAGTCAGCGACCCAAAGAACTGCACTGTCAAGAGATTTTCTCAGAAAACCGGAAGAGGATTTGGTCAGCATACCATGACAAACTGTGTTCGTACGAGGGATCCCTCCTTGGCTTGGCTGCACAGCAACAAAAGGCGCAGGGTATCCGATCATAGTACAGTTAACTCTCTTTGCGACCACTCGTGTTTTGAACTATTTGGGCCTCCTGTGTTGTGATTATCATTGTTTGGGTTTCCTGTGCTAACGTTCTCGTAAACGAGTAAGCATCCACTTTTTCCTGATCCCGAGGTGGTCGCTTAACAAGAGAGTTGACTTTATATGTATATATACAGTATCGCTAGAGTGTATGGAACGGCTTTCTGAATGAAGATGGGATTTCAGGAGCATTTGCAAAACAAAATGATAGCTCATAGTTAAAGGAAACCATTTTCTAGGAGCCCATTCATGTTCTTGTCGTTTTCACAGACGTTTCTATTTTTAGATGATTTCTTCAGTCGTCTCTTCATCAGCAGCCTCTTTGTTTTCAATTAATATAGACTAGAAGACAATTCGCTTTCTATTAATATTATTTTCTTTATTATTTTATTTCAGTTTCCCGCCAGTAATACCGGTTGAAAAATTCTAAAAAATAGACACGTCTAGGAAATCGACGTGACCAAACGCAACTGTCCAGTTTTCACTTACTTTTATATATTTTTTGTGCAAAAACTGATAGCAATCATTAATTGCATTGTATTGTATGAATTTTATGACTTAACGGGAATCAATATTGCCGGAAACTTTTGATGAATATCACAATGTCGAACTGTAAAACAATAAAAAAAGAAAATACTATAGACCCGGGGGACCCGGGAATATAGAATTAGAGATTGATACTGGCAAAATAGTGTTCAGATTCGCTTTGCGGTTTTGAAGACAACAAACAATTTCTATTTCATGCAATCATTTTATTTAAGTTATTATCTTTGCGTTATGTTTACTCTTGCATTAATAGTGCGCAAATATAATGTTTTCTGATCTTTATGATCGACATAAAATGGCTTTTTGTAGAGATAAACTTCTTCAACGTCCTGTAGTCATTTGTTTTCCATTCAACATAAACAGAGTGTCATATTGGGCCTTATATAATATGCCATTACTATGATGTCTGCAA